TAAGTACATCTTGATTACATGTTTGGTCAGTATCAGACTGTAGAAGTTGATAAAAATCTTCAATTTCTTCCTCTTTGGCTTTGGTGGTTGCTACATAAATTTGAATAGTAGTAGTATTAACTGGTCTTCTTGTAGGCATACGGATATTATCCTATCACTGCCAGGATTGTACTGCAGGATAGATCTTGAAGCATTTTATGTGATGATGAATGCCACCTTACTCCTTTTCAATTTGTCATTCCTGGCATAGTAGACTGTATGGTTGTCTTGATTCCAAATGATCAAAACCATTGCATTTTATTCAGCTCATTAATGCCTAGGATATTGATCCTTATGTGTTCCATTTCATTTTTTACAACTTCCAATTTTCCTAGCTTCATACTTTGTACATTCCATGTTCCAATTATTAATGGATTTTTGCAGCTGTTTCTTCTCTTTTTGGTCATGCTTCATCAGCAAATGGAGGTCCTGAAAACTTCACTTCATCCACATCATTAATGTGGACTCTACTTTGAGGAAGGAGCTCTGATGGCATAGTTTCTAAGGCATTTGACTGCTAAAACAGAAGACTGATGCTTCAACCCACCAGCTACTCCTTGAAAGGAAGACTGGGCACTTTGAGAACGCAGCTCTTCCCCAGTTGTATTTTGAATACCTTCTGACCCGAGGGACTCATCTTCCAGCACTATATCAGCCAGTGTTTCAGTACTATTCATAATGTTTTCACTGGCCAATACTTTGAGAAGTCGATGGCCCCTTCCTTGTTCTTAATCTGACTTAGCCTGGAAGCTCCACTGAAACCTATCCACCATGGGGGACAGTGCTGGTATTTGAAATAATGGTAGTGTAGGCTCCAGCCTGACAGCAGTATGCAAGCCACCACAGTATGACAAACTGACAGACAGGTGCTGGTTTACTATTTCTTTATGTATCAGCACTTTTCCTGCAAAGGAAGAGGGTATATAAAATTTAAAAATTTTTTGATGATAGTGTCTCAGAAGTATAGGATACTTCCATTAGAGGATAGAATTAGGACTTGGATCTAATAATCTCAGTGTGAGATTTAAAAAGTTAGTAAAACACAAGAATTTGTGTGTAGCTTTAAATCTGTTGGACATCAAGTCAATTCTAACTCATAGTGAGCCTATAGTACTGTACATTTTTTTCCTCAGGAAGTAGCTGATAGGTTTGAATCTCCAGCCTTTTGATTAACAGCTGAGCACTTAACTACTGCACCATTATGGTTCCTTCTGTGTTTATAAGTCCTAGTCTCTGTTAAAGTTCAGTATGCAATATACTTATTTTTAGAGTAAGATAAAGTACAGGTCAAGAATATTATTTTAAGAGTATTAAAATCTGGATTGAATTTTCTAAAATGTTAATTTTTATCAAATAATATATATATATACACAAACATAGTTTATAATGTCTGAAAGTATTGTGCTAGAAACTGGTTCTGTTTTAGGTGCTGCTTCTGGCTTTCAAAAATTCTTGGTATTTCTAAATGTTGAGCTTATGCTAAACCAAACTTACTGCCATGTAGTTGATTCCAACTCATAGTAAGCCTATAGGACAGAGTAGAATATAGAGTTTCCAAGTCTGTAAATCTTTGTGGAAGTGGAGCAGCTGTTGGGTTCAAACCAACAGTCTTTTGGTTAGCATCCAAGCACTTTAACCACTGTACCACCATGGCTCCTCAAACTTATACTAAAACCAAAAAATGAAACCAACTGCCATCCAGTGAATTCTGACTCATTGGGTTTCCAAGACAGTAAATCTCTATGGAAGTATATTGCCCCATCTTCCTTCTGCAGAGCGGCTGGTGTATTTGAACTGCCATCCTTCTGATTAGCAGTCAGATGCCTTAAGCACTGTACCACCAGAGCTCCTCAAGCTTTTACTACTGACTCTTAATTCATCAAGTATGGTAGATGAGGATTTTTCTTAATTCTCAGTTATGTTCTTAATAGAGTTACTTAATTTTTGATGAAATCAGTATTCAGTGATTAGTTAAAGCTATATAAATATTACTCATAGGTGGATGTTGTAAAGCACCATAGTATCTTTTGTAATATTATTTCCTTCTGTGGAAAATCTCTGGATTTTATCTGGATTGATGCATAACTGTTACTTTTGGTCTTGTCTTTAACATCCTAGGATTTTTTTTGTCTTTCCTCCAAGTTTAATTTTCCATATCTAGGACTTGGCATTTTCCTCTTTCTTTTGTGTATTCAGATGTTTTGATGGAGTTTCCTGCCAAGTTTGTATGGGAAGTAAATATATTTAGACTTTGAACTTTGACAGTATCTTAATTCTTTACTGTCACGTATTTGATTGGTACTTTGGTTGGATATAGAAGAATTCTAGATTTTCAGTATTTTTCTTCACAATTTTGGAAACATGGCTCTATTATCATTAGCCTCCAAAATTGCTGTAAAATACTCATACGATATTCTCACAAGTAATTTTATTACCTGGCCATGCCACATGCTTAAGCTTTCCTTCAGTAGTCTCTAAACATCCACTTAACCCAGAATGATGTATTTATCATCGCCTGAATGTAATATTCCTACTCCTTATTTACGTTCTCATTATTCAACATTTTGTATATACAATAGTAAAAAATCTACTATCCTACTATTTTGCTCATTAATGACATACTTCTGGCAGTAATGAACACGGAATTGCAAGGAGAGAATAATGCTCACTGTAATGGTTAAGTTTATATGCCAACTTGGCTGCTCCATGATTCTCAGTAGTTTGACAGTCATGTAATGATTTGACATTTGTTATATGTAGTCATCCTCTGTTGTGTTGATGGGCTGTGATCATCCTCTATAATGCCAATTTTTGCATAATGACCTGATCTTTGGAAGCTGATCATGTTGATAAGTGAGTTGTGGGTGTAGCTGCACTATCTTTGCTCATAATCTTTCTTTTGTCTGAACTGCTTCCTGCCATTCATTCGTTCCATTCATTCCTAATCAAAGACTGAAAACTCAAGTTCTGTGTCCTTCCTGAATTTTACCATTACACTGTAGGCATGGGTTTTTTTTTTTTTTTAAAAAAAAAAAAAAAAAAGACATGAAACTTGCGTAATACTTGAAGTTAAGAGTTATTTAGTATACAATATGAATTGATCATGCAAGATTATAACATTTTAGGCATTTGTGATATAGGAATTTAATAGGCTAAGGTGCGAAGATTATGCTTCATGCCTGTATCAGATTACATCTAGTTTTTTTTCCTTGATATTGACAATTGATAATTTATTTCATTATTATGGGATAACAAAGTTTGGTGGTATGTTTAATCTTTGAAAAACTTCATTTTTGGTAATCTGTTACTATTTCTGGCCAAAGATGTTACTTTGCTTTTCAGTGTAAATGAAAGAATTAGATATTGTTTTTACATTCTAATGCGTACACATTTCCAGTGTTTTTTCAAACCTGAGTCTAGGTTCCTCAGGCAGATTAAGAGATCATAGCTGTAGAACAAAAACAATTGAGTTGTAGTTGTGGAGTTTTCACACATTGTTTTTTAACCTCATTTTTTTTCTCTGTTCTCTTCCAATATTTAAGCTATTCTTACAATGCCAAGTGAATGGAATTACAGTGTTTGATACCAGTAAAATAAATCATCACCTTTCTTTCTTTCGGAGAAGGAATAAATAAGTAAGGAACATGGCATTCAGAAATCCTGGAGAGATATTTGAACTCATGTATTCTTAAACAGTATTTTGTATTTCATAAATTCTTAAATGTTGGAGTTTCTTTTAAGACTTTTAAAATTATTCGTAACTTGCTTTCTTAGAAAATTTGGTACTCAGTGGTAGATTATCTGCTTCTTAAAAGAAAAACAACTATTTGCATGGAAAAAAGCTTTAATATTCTTATTTATTTAAAAGTTTACTGGAAGTAAAGAAGACTTGAGGCACTTAAAAGCTGTATACAGTTTTGTAAAGAGAGTATAAGCAGCTACTAAGTACTCAGACCATGGATCCAGGTTTAAATTCCAACTGCATCAATCTGAGACTTTGGCAAATTGCTTACCCTTAGTGTGGCTAATGTAAGGAATAAATGAATTAATAGGTAATGCTTGGTACATGGCAGGTATTAAGTGATGGTTGTTATTATTTTCCTTGCTTGATAGAAAGTTCGTGTGAAAATAACCAAAAAAGCCCACCTCAAATCCATTGCTATCTAGTTGATTCCAATTCATAATCACCCTAAAGACAGAGTAGAACTGTCCTATAGGGTTTCCAAGGCCATAAATCTTGAAGGAGGCAGACTGCCTTATCCTTCTGTGGAGTTCTAGTGGGTTTGAACTACCAACCTAAAGCAGCCAAATTGCTTTAACCCCTATGCCACCTTCATGAGTTCTTTCATCTAAACGTTTGTTACCAGCTACTTTTGTTTGTTTTTTACTTTCAAGGAGAATAGTTTTGTGTAGAATTGTACACAGGATCAGGATTGTAGCTTTGGATCTTTCGTTAATTTAATGCTGATTTAATCTCAATTGAATCAGTGAGGGTTCAAGATAAGATGATCTCTTTTTAAATAGGTGACCATGCTGAAGGGTTGGCCGTTTTGGAATATTCAACTGGAACTTAACTTTCTCTATGTTTTTTGTTTAATTGTACCATGGAGTAGACATCCCAGGTAATTTTTTTACCCCAGTGGCTTTTAGTAATTGTCAAATTTTAAATTGCCAAATGATTCTGGTGATGTGTGTTTGTATATTTAACTCTAAGTGTAAATTTAGACAAACATTCACAATATAGATTGTTCCCTAAGGTAACTCCTCCTTGGCTTTTCTTCAGTTTTCACTTCCTTCTAAAGGGTACCTGAGGATGTCCTTTTGTCAACAATTAAGTGCAGAATCAAAACGAAGATTGTAATTACCTTCTGTTGGAGTTCCCGTCCTGTAAAGATGGTTGTGGTTGTGTTTAACTCCCACAAAAGTTATTTGTGGTTTTTCCTGAACTTTTCCTTCTGCAGCAAAGTTCTATTTTCGTTAACTACACACTATTTTAAAGTAGAAGATGGAGGTGAAAGATCAGTCTGTGTTACCTTTGGATTTTTCTTTTTCGTCAAAGCAATGGCAGTATTGATTGTAACAGAGAACTATCTGGAATTTGGACTTGAAACAGGTAATAACTTAATGCATAACTCAGCTTTAAAAGTTGGTGTTAATATTTTTAAATTCAGTACATAAGTAAGTTTTATATTTGATAATTTTAAAAAATTGTTCACAGTTTACTACAGTGTTCCAAACAGTTTTCACTATTCTTAAATAAGCTCTTCCTTCTAGATTGTTTCAGCCAAGTTTTTTGTTTACCTTTTCCAAAAAATTCTCTCTCCCCTTTTCCTCCTTTTTCTTACAATTAAGTTTCTGTAATGCTAACGTTTATGGGAAATAAGAATTAATGCAAATTTTATTCACACCCATGGAATGTACAAATATCAAAGGGATATTTTCAAAGAATGTTTCTGCTAATAGCTGATTTTTATTGCATTATGGCATACTAATTAGCACATGAAAGGAGCTAAGCTAGTCACTTCAAAATTTCAGGTACTCTGTTTTCTAGTGTTTTTTTTTTCCTAAAGGAAGATTCTGTTTTTTACCCCTGTGATAAATTTAATCTCTTTTTCTGTATCCCCCCTCCCCCAACAGGGTTTACAAATTTTTCAGACAGTGCGATGCAGTTTCTTGAAAAGCAAGGTTTAGAATCTCAGTAAGTTTTTGAAAAATTAAGCATTATTTAAATATCACAGGTGAAGTTTTTTAATTTTTTATTTTTAGCAAGGTACTATTTATTATAAGCAATTCTTTATTTTTACTGAGTGTAAATCTTTTTAAGTTGGATTATCACTTTGGAAACATTCTTACTCATAATAAAATTAGATTTGCTTTTACTTAATTCCTTTTCCCTCTAAAGACTAAATTTATATTTGTATCACATATAAATTGTATGTTGAATATGTAGGTTATAGTGTTATAATTGATTAAAGGCATACCTGGTTTGTTAATAATGGTAATTTTTAGTTCACTAAAGTCTGTTGTAAGTTCTTAAATAAGTGCAGTCTTTTTATAGAAATGTTACCTTGTTTTATTATTATACAATTCATAAAGTAATTGATTAATTGATTAGAATAAAGGAAATTCTTAAAAATTAATTTAAAAAGTTTATCAGTTCTTTTCTTCTTTTTAATTTTATTTTTAGGGGTCCTGTTTCTAAACTTACTTTCAAATTTTTTCTGGCCATTTTCTGTTCACTCATTGGGGCTTTCTTGACATTTCCTGGATTACGGCTGGCTCAAATGCACCTGGATGCCCTGAATTTGGCAACAGAAAAAATTACACAGTAAGCGGAAAATGTACATAAGCACATGCAGATAAATATATGTTTTCCATCTTAATGAAGGTATATTATTGTAATGAAATCATACATTATTGTTTTAAAAATGAATAATCAAGTAACCATTTTATGTCACACTGCTTTTCTTTTACTATAAGCAATGTTCTTTTATTTACTTCTAAGTTTTAAGCTCCTGTGTTAAAAATTAATTATACCATTACTGAATTTCTCTTTTACCTGCTAAAATGAAAACATCAATATTTGCACTAGTTCTTTTTATTTCAATGTAGTCAGTGCTCATGATATTACAATCTAAAACTGAACTAAGGAGCAATGATCAATTCCCTTAAAAAATTAGAACATTTAAAAAATATATGAATTTCCTTAAATAATTTCCTTTTTATTTAAAATATTTTTTTAAAGTTTTTTTAAACTAAAAGTTCTATACCAAAAGATGTTTGTCTTCTTTAGAAAGTTATTGATCTGTTGCTGTGTGCCAAAGAGATGTTTGTCTTCCTTAAAGTTATTGATCTCTTGTTAAGATTCTTGTTAAGAGTTATTTTATTTTGGAATTGTTAATACTGTACAGTGTAATATGTCATATATGTCATGGATTACTTTCAGTTGCCAAATTCTATTTTAGTTCTCAAATGGAGAAGTCATTTTGAATCTAATCTCTACATACACTTCAAAGCCCATTTATTATATTATTTTAGGCTGTCACAATCTAGACACCTTGGCAGAATGGCACACTTACATCTACTTCAACGCATAACCAGATCCAAGTTCCCATCTCGTCTTATTTTGTAGTGGAAGTCCAAGTTAAAAATATTTCCATTATGATAGATGTACTTAAAGTTACTAGTTTCTCTGCCTAATTGTATTTCCTAACATTTCTGTTCTTTGAAGCCCTATATTTAATGAAGCTGATTTTCATGTTGTGTTTTCGTAAACCTTTCTATAATCATTCTTATCTCCCTTACCTATGTTGTTTTCCTTTATTTTAATTTTGACAGTCTTTCTGCTTTTTTCCCTACCTCTGTTTTTCTACAAAATGTTCTGTGTGTGTGTTTTTACTTACTCCCACCTCCTACTATATACTCTTTCATCCCTGCTTTTCTTTCCTCCTTTTACTCAGCATGCTCTTGGCTACATCCTGCCTTTCTTCCACCACCGTCTCTCTAATGGCTTCTTTAAAGACAAAACCTGGTTCTCCCCCTCCTTTTTACACACACACTTCAGTCCACTAACCCCAGTGTTATGATTTAAATAAGCTGAAAAGGGTGGGTGGAGGGGAGCCCTTCACAAGCTACTGAAACCGCTGTGGGCTGCTCCTTGATACTAGAGTGTTCCCTAGCAACACTGCATACCTAATACTGCTTTTTTCTTCCCCTGCACTGGATGGTTTACCCAGGCTGTGGGATGAAAGAATCACTTTATTAAAACATTTAAAGCATTTAATAGAGGCTGGGGGTAGGGGACATTTTACTGTCCTTTTCAGTAAAATATAGCTTCTTTTTTAACAAGTCTTCCTTTAGGGATTTGGGATTTTGTTTTCAATTTATTGTAGCACCCCCTCCCCTGATTGTGATGTAGCACTCTGCCTTGATATAAGGGTGTGGGCAAGCTAGTTCTGTTGTGAAAGTACCATAACTGGCACAAAGAGCAATATTATTCTTCTCCCCATGGCTGGGCACTAGTTCTAGTTTTAATGACAGAGGTTGGAACCCAGAATTCTACATTTCCCTGTGAAGTGTTCATAGTTTCCTTTTCCAGCCCTGTTTACTCAATACCTTCACACAGATTACTGTTTGCATATGTTGTGATATTTAAAACTGTGTGTGTGTGAATGTCTGTGTATATTAAACCCTTCAGTAGCATAGTTGATAATGAAAGCGATACAAGTGTAATAAAGTAACTGGTCTGAAGAATTTGCCTTTGTTCTAAAATAAGAACAGTCTTTAACAACAGGATAAAAACTTGGAGAATAGTTAACAATGAAATCCCCAAAACCTCTTCTGTACTGCCATTTAGGAGTAATGTAAATTTCCTTGATTTGTATGAGGTTGTTGTTGTTGTTGTTATGTGCCATTGAGTTGGCCGTGACTCATAGCGACCCCTCCTTGGTTTCCCAGGCGGTTATCACTAGGGAAGTAGGATTGCCCAACCTTCCTTCCAAGGAGTGGCTGGTGGGTTTGAACCACCAGCCTTCTGGTTAGCAGTCAAGTGCCTTACGCACTATGCTACCAGAGCTCCTATCATATCTTTGTATGAGATAGGAAAATTAATTTCAAGTATGTTTAAAATCATCTAAGAATAAATTAAAATGGGTGAATTACTTAAGATTTTGATCATAGTATTTTAAACACTATTCATGATTATTATGTATATTGAAAGGTTCCTTAGTTTTAAGTTGTAACTAGGTTCTATCTGCTATGTATATGCCTTCTAGTATTTATAGGCCTTGCTAATCACTTTCAAAGGAGCACTGGTAGTATGATAGTTCAGCATTCGGCTGCCAACCGAAAATTTTGCAATTCACCCCTACCAGATGCTGGTCTGCAGGAGAGAAGTCCACCAGATGCTCTTGTTGTTGTTATGTGCCATCGAGTCGGACCTGACTCATAGTGACCCCTCCTTGGGTTTCCGAGGCAGTATCACTACGGAAGTAGATTGCCCAGCCTTCCTTCCTCGGAGTGGCTGGTGGGTTTGAACCGCCAGCTTTCTGGTTAGCTGTCAAGTGCCTTAGGCACTATGCTACCAGATGGTCTAAAGGAGAAAAATGAGGCAGTTTGCTTCCATAAAGATTTACAGCTTTGGAAACTGTATGGGGCAGCTCTACTCTGTCCAGTAGGGTTGCTATGAGTTGGAATCAACTCAGTGGCAGTGGGTTTGGTTAATCACTATCACTTACTTATAAATAATAAGAAGGCACTTCATTTCAACTGTGCTGAACAGTATTAGAAGATGACACCCCTCCCACCCTCTAATACTGAAAATCATTGGGTTCATTGTGTGAAGTTAGAGAATCATCTGCTTCCATAAAGATTACAAGTCTTGAAGCCTTAAGGAACTGTTTCTACTCTGTCTTTTGGAGTCACTATGAGTTGGGGGTATTGAATCACAGGTGTAGTCTTGGGTTATTAAATAACACTTGTCTAGAATTGAACAGATATGTATTTTACTCCTAGCTCTGCCTCTAACCTATAATGTTGCCATGAGCAAGTCATTTAACCTTCTGTATTTAAATGTTCTCATCTGAAAAATTAAAGTAATGACTGTCATTCACTAACATCATATAGTTTTGTAAAGGCTCAAATCAATGTTAAGTGTTAAAGATAAATATAAAATGTTGATGACCAAACCAAAAAACCAAACCCACTGCCATCGAGTCAATTCCTTTAGGACAGAGTAGAACTGCCCCAGCAGGTTTCCAAGGCTATAAATCTTCAAGGAAACAGACTGCCCCATTTTTCTCCCGTGGAGCAGCTGTTGAGTTCGAATTGCTGACCTTTTGGTTAGCAACCAAATGCGTTAACCACTATACCACCAGAGCTCCTATGTTGATGACAGTACATTAAAACAGAATACTGAAATACATTCTTAATTTTATTTTATACAGACCCACGTTTCGGTAGCTTATGAAAGTATTTAGTTTCTCGATGTTTATCCTTATTTCTTACATACTTTCAGAATATTACTGCATATCAACTTCTTGGCACCTTTATTTATGGTTCTTCTCTGGGTAAAACCAATCACCAAAGACTACCTTATGAACCCACCATTGGGAAAAGAAAGTATCCCTTTGTAAGTATGGGTCTTTGAGGATTAATTTTTATATAATTCATAATCAAATTGTTTTCTTAAATATTATATACTGCAAAAAAGTTTTTAATGATAAAACTAAGACACTGTATTTTTCAAACATTAATAGAAGTGTTAAAAGATGTGATTTTAAGTTGATACTTATTTTTTGTGATCCTCATTAATGAATATTATTATTACCTTGCAATAATATTATCTTGTACCACTTGGTTTTTTTTTTCTTCATTTAATGTCCGTTTGTCATTCTCATTTTCCTGTTGTCATTGTACTTGTTTTTTTAAATAACTTTAGTTCTTTTATTTTTTGTAACTAAAAATTACAGAGAGGTGGAGCATAAGTGGAAACACATATACCCAGTCCCTATCTTTAGCAATTAACATTTTTCATATTTGCTTTATCCTTTTTTGTTTCATTTGTTTTTGATGTAGTATTTTCAAGTAAATTAGAGATATAACATTTAACCCCTTAGTACTTCAATATGCATCTCTAAAAATTAAGGACATTTATCACAACTAACAAAATTGAAAATAATGCTGTAACATTGTTATGTCATGCTAGTTAATGTCTCCCTAGTTAGTGTACTTCCTTTTAAAAAGACAGTAAGAAAAAATAGAAACAGTTTCCTAAAATGAATTAATAACTGTACTTAATATGTTAACTCATTAGCCATGTGAAGTTTTGGTATAGTAGTAGAAAGATTCAGATAGAGCTGGTTCAAACCCAGACTCTGCTCCTCCCTAAAACTGTCACTTGAGACAGATTATTTAAACTTCATGGAGACTCTGTTTCCCCATCTGGAAAATGAACATAATAGTGTCTTGTTCACAAGGTAATCATAAAAATTAAATTAAATTAAACAGGTAATTCAACCAACTGGAAGTAAATGCTTAATAGATGTTTCCTTCACCTCTTTGTCTCATCAGAATTAAAATAGAAAAACTTGACTAGTCTTTGACTCCATAGTGAACATTTACTTCTTTTAGATCCTGGTATGAATTTATTTGTCTTAGAGTATATAATCAGTTATGACCATGGAATTTTTTTTTTTTCTTTTTTTTTTTTAAGAGTTTATCCTGTTGAACTAGGAGCTCTGGTGATATAGTGCCTAAGGCATTTGAGTACTAACCAGAAGGCTGGCGGTTCAAACCCACCAGCCACTCCTCAGAAGGAAGGTTGGGCAATCTACTTCCATAATGCTATGGCCTCAGAAACCCAAGGAGAGGTTGCTGTGAGTCAGATTCGACTCAGTGGCAGTGAGTTTGGTTTTTTGGTTTATCCTACTGAACTAGGGAAATATTCACTGAGCTAGGTCCGGTCGCCCCCATAAGTAAGCCTTATTGGAATATTGGAAGTTTTAACTTCACAGATTCACTGAATATTAAAAGTAATCCTAAGGCAATATTTCAGGGGAACTCCTAATTCGTGTTGAAAGCATTCCAGTCCTTTCTTGGACTTAGGTCAAAGACGTCAAATTCCATACTTTTATAATTATGTTCTCTGATACTAATACTTTTCTTAGTTAAATTGACAAAGGAAGGACACTAGCATTTGTGATGCACCCACTATACGCTAGTTATTATACTAGAAACTAATGCTTTACATATTTTATCTCATTTATTCTTAGAGTAATTCTCTTTGTTATTGCTCTTTACATCCCCATTTTAGAGATGAAATGACAAATTCAGAAGGTGAAAAACTTATCTAAGGTTATTTAGCCAACTGTTATATTTGTAAATTCCATGATTTTTCTTAGCGTACTAACTCCAGGTTTTTTGTTAGTGAAATGTACATTCAGACATTTGATGTATAGATAATATATATGTAACATTTGGTGGTTATTGAATTCCTACTTTCAGTCTGACGAAACTTTGTGCAAATTTATAAATACTGAATCACTTGCTTAAAGGAAATGAGAATAGCAAACTTTTTCCCTTGGGTGAACGGGGAAAAATTTTATACAACCTTAGCTCTGCTCCATCCTGTTCTTCTTTATAATGTTCAGACCATTGCATTATGTAGAGTGATTAGACACAGATGGTTTTTAGTTTTTGTTTAAAATTTAAAGCCTTAGTGATAGACTGAAAAAGAATAGCTGCCCATTAAAGAGTGTAGGATAAAGGAGAAAACAAGTGACAGGCTCTTCTCTTGTTATATAGACAAAATAGTTTGCAGAAAGGTCTTTATTTGTAGTTAGAAGCAAAACTTGGGTATAATGCACTTTCAATCCTGAAATGTTTCTTAATTGGCATTAAAAAAATAAATAGGAGGTAAACAGAACCCATGTGTATTCCTAACTTAATAGAAGAAAATCAAAACTATGATATACAGTGAAGCCCTAAGTGGCTTCAGAATATGGGTGAATTTTGTCTGCCTGTTCCTTGCCCATGGTACTACCAGCTCAGGTTCTTCCCTGAATTACCCTACCAGATCAACTTTTTAGATAACTTCAAGAATCTTTCTGAAGTTACTTAAGTAATCTGAATTGGAAGGTACAGTTCAATGACTTATCCTAAATCCTCTGAAACAGATCAAATAATTTTCTCTTTTACTGCTTTTGTCTGTTTCCTTTATTCTTATTATCTGTCACCCTGAAAATCTGTATAATAGCAGTCTTCAGAATGCTACCAGTTTAATTTGTATGTTGTACAGTTTTAGGGAGCATAGAATAACAGACCTTACCTTTAATCTTTTGTCGGTCTCATGTGACTGGCCCCTTAATCTCGATGTAATTGTTCGTTTTAATGGAAACGTGTTAATAAAATGCGATGCCTTTATCCTTTTTAGCTAACGGTGTTTTTCCATTGCAAATTTATGTCCATGTGAGCTCATGATCTTCTAAAAAGGAAACCAGAGATATACTTAAAGGCTTTTGTTCCATCTTCATTTGTGACCTCCATATCATGAACAGTTAAAACTACATTTTCACCTCTTCTTTGCCTTTTCTATTTCCTCTCTTAAGACTGTTTCCCCAGGGAACTTTTTCTGTGTTGTACTCTAGTTCTTTTCCTGAGTTCTTACTACTAGACAGAAGGAATAGGTGATAATAGAATCTATATAGAGAGAAATGTTAAAAGTTTTCTTCTTTCCCTATTTGGTCTTTTTTTATACCCATCTGTTCTAGCCTCGTGGTCTTAAGAATTTGACAGAGACCTATCTAAGTGCCAGATTCTATAGTTACTTATTAAGTATCTAATATATGCGAGAGATTAGATTAGAGGTTGGAGATGATCTTTGCTCTTTTCAAATTACTCACAGGATAGTCTTTTATCAAAGCAGAAACCATGATTTTTATTTTAAAAAATAAATAAATAATAACCCCAAAGAGCATCAGAAATTATCTCTGCTTTCTAAAGTCCTTTAAGGAGCAGCTCCTAGTATTCTAGTTTATGATCTTATCCTTCCAGACTTGTTCAGAATTGAACCAAGTTCAGTTGTGTAACAGCTGAGTGACTTGGTGAAGAAGTTAAGGCATTTGATTTCTTAATAATACATCAGAATTCTTGGATTTTCCATGGTCTCAACAATTATGAACTCATCAGAGTGAAAGAGCCCATCCAGATACCTATATAATCAGAGAAAACTTGACTCAGTAATAGATTGATTATTCACTTGATTAGTTCCACAGGTACTCTCCTGTGGTTCCTTACTCCTGTGTCCTCCTTTCTTTCTCCTAGTCTCCAGTTTAAAAGGTATCCAATTTCTCTTTTAATGTCACAGGCAATTATTCTTATATGGAGGAGAATAGATAGAGAATACCAAATATTGCCCTATTTTTTCTTCTGTTAGGTATCTATTATTTCTTCTACTCCCATGATACCTATCTCATTCTGTTATAGAAGTGAACATTTATTAGATATGCAGCCGGAATGCTCCTTAGAACCAAGAATGGCCAGACATTGTCTCACCTACTTTTGTCATGTTAGAAGGGACTTTTCCCTGGAGAAAAGGTTAACGTGCTTGGTAAAGTGGAGGTCAGCAAAAAAGGGGAAGACTCTCAGCGAGATGGATTGACACACTGGCTGCAGTGATGGCCTCAATATAGCAAGGTTTGTGAGGATTGAGCATGACCAGGTTGTGTTTCAATCTTCGGAACATAGGGTTGCTATGAGTTGGAGTCAACTCAGTGGTAACTAATAGCAGCAACATGCCAGATTTGGGTTCTTTTATATTTATCTCCAGCTATAGCTTAGATATGGATTTCTTATATCAGCACATATAACTAGCATGCAAGCATATTGTGGTCTTTGAGAGTACCATATTGACTTTTTAATCTGTAGAATGACAGAAACAACATTTGATACTCTACGACTTTGGTTAATAATCCTGCTGTGTGCTTTGCGGTTGGCCATGATGCGTAGTCACATGCAAGCTTACTTAAACTTAGCCCAGAAATGTGTGGATCAGCTGAAGAAAGAAGCAGGACGAATAAGTACAGTTGAGCTACAGAAAATGGTAAGTTTTATACTGCAGTCAAAATGAAAAATAGCATATATTGTGTGTAAGAAGAATACATATAGAATTTGATTTCCCTTGTTGTTGTTGTTGTTGTTGTTTGCCGTCGAGTCGGCCCCGACTCATAGCGACCCCTCCTTGGGTTTCCGAGGCAGTATCACTATGGAAGTAGGATTGCCCAACCTTCCTTCCAAGGAGTGGCTGGTGGGTTTGAACCGCCAGCCTTCTGGTTAGCAGTCAAGTGCCTTAGGCACTATGCTACCAGAGCAGTAATTTTATCCTGTAATATCCTTACTGTAATAAATGGGACCATCTTAAGTTGATAGCTTAACAGAGACCTTGATCTGATTTTGGTGATAAGTGAAGAAAGGACCTCAGTTCCCCTTCCTCTTCCTTCTTTAAGTGCTTTATGTGTCATACACTTGGATGATGAAAAGCTGTGGCATGCTTACTGTTGCTAAGTGGGAGCCTTCTAAAAGATTTGGAAGATAGTACAATTTATTTCGTATAGCTTATGGCTTAAACAGAAAGGAAAGAATAATTTTAGGGGCTAAATTTATTCCTTTTACTATTTTAATAATACTCCATGTAGTTGAGCATGAGACTATGTACTTAATGGGGATTCCAAAGAAAGAAATTGTTAGGAATCTTTCCACCTTTATAGTAAATCTATAATCTGATGATGTCTTAGTTTTTGATGTTGAATCTCCTGTTTTCTACTCTTCGATAGTTAGGAACATTTATCAAGATTCAAGCAACTTTTCCATTTTTTCTTTCATATATTTCCATATTTGTCATAATTTGACTTCGATCAAATATAGTCATACTGAATAGGGATTTAATGTTTTTATTTCTGAGGGGTTTATTTCCAAATATGACTGACTAGTGTGATGTTATAGGTTGTTGTCCTTAGAGATTTAGCCATTTTGTTTTGTCTTTGAAATGAAGTGAATGCATGCCATTTAAATTTTAGAGATTATTTTCCCCAATTTACACTAGCCACCTAAGAACTGTTTTTAAGAGTAATTTATTTTAATATATTCACATTTTTTAAAACTTACCAAAATCAGAGATTTTCTGAAGTCAAACTCTGGGACATTTATAATAAACTTAGTAACATTTAGCTGTCTTTCCGAGAAAGGATTACTTATCTCTTAATTCTGTTTTACTGACAAAATTATATGAAAGTTTAATTCACTCATAACTATCAGCTGTATGTTGTTGGTTGCAGGTGGCGCGAGTCTTTTATTATCTTTGTGTCATTGCACTGCAGTATGTGGCTCCTCTGGTAATGCTGCTTCACACAACTCTGCTTTTGAAAACACTAGGTAGGCGTGTTCTAGCAATTGGGAAACAAGTTGTTTTGCCTTCTACATATAATTAATGCGTTTGCTACCTACAAAGAAATATGCCTCTTAAAATTATCTCTCTCTTACAAGAGTTTTAAGAAAACACATGGGGAAGTTTCAGTGGTAAAAGTTGCACCATTATCTTGAATTTGAAAACTCAGGCAGGCCCGTGTATTATTTTGTAGTATAATTCTTTACTTATAAGAATTGCTTATTAAAAATTAACTCCTGAAGAATAACTAGTGAGCACTGTTGATCTTAGTTCCTTTTGTGTTATAAGAGGATGACTCTTATAAAACATTACAGTTTCAAAGATTTTGTTAGTGCCTAACATTTAAATTATTAAAAGATACTTATAAGTAAACTTACTTGAATTACAGAATCTCTTTTTTAAACTCTCCTTTGATGGGTTCTACTTTAGATAATGCTTGGTGAAAAGTTAAACACTTCTCAGTGAAAGGTAAAGTCCCCTATAAATCGGCTTATTGAACTATCAAGTCTTTGTGTGATGTTGTTCAAGAGCTCCCTATTATTATATAGATTATTTCCCTTCTCATAGATCAGGCTGTCTGCCAAGGTGGGGTTTAAGAATCACAAAGGAATTGAAAATATTATTTGGATAGGATTGGTACATACTATAGAGTTGACTATAGGTGTAAATGTCATTTAGGGGTAGCTCAATTGTAAATTATGTGACTCATATCCTATCCATCGTAGCAAAGTATATGATGAAAAATTTTCTGGAAGCTATTAATAGTCTCACAATGAAATGATAGATATTTTCTGAGAAAGAAATTTATTCTGATATTCCAAATGCAGAAAAGATTTCTAAGAAGTTATTGAATCAGTCCCTATTACTCAATGTAGGTAGTTGATTCATGTCGTATACATGGAAAACTTGTTTTTATTATTTTACCAGATGTTAGTGCAGTTTATTGAAAGTGATTTAAGCTTTTTGTTTTTATATATACTTTTACTGGTAAGACCAGATTATAGTGTGGTCAAGTTAAGTGAAATTATTTACCAGATATGTAGAAAGATGATTATACTTTATTATCAACATAAAATGACTTGTTCTGTCACTAAACTTTGTTCTTAATTTCAAATATGAGTTAAAGAATTTTTTTCTTTAAAGAAGCATTGGAATTAGTTATTCTTCAAATTTCATTTATGTCTTGAATTTTCTAGGTAATCATTCCTGGGGGATTTATCCAGAAACTATTTCTTCTTTGCCAGTCGATAACAGTCTACTCTCCAATTCTGTTTATTCTCAATTACCAGCTGCTGATGGGAAGATGAAGGTAACTGTTACACAAATAACAGTGGCACTGAGCAGCTTAAAAAACATTTTCACTCCTCTGCTTTTCCGAGGACTTCTGTCTTTTCTGACCTGGTGGATTGCTGCTTGCCTCTTTTCTACGAGCCTTTTTGGGCTTTTCTATCACCAGTATCTGACTGTGGCATGAACCTCAGTTAACCACAAAAGATATACAAGTCACACTTTAAATTGAAATATTTGTGCCCTTGAAGGGTTGAAGAAAACCGGATGAAAGCAAACATAAAGGAAAAAAAAAAAGCATATCAGAGTATCTTCTTGTTTTCAATGCTTCCTCTGTATTCTCAGGGTGAATTAATGTTATAATATTTAAAATCACAGAATAGATTGTTAACTCTTGTACTGTGGCATTGGAATTTTAACTCTTTGTATTAACTGATGTGAGAGGGCTATCTACAAGGGTAATAATACTTTGATTACCTTGGTTTACAGAAACCCCCAGCAGTTTTTGAAACTTCTCATATGACTCCAGTTATTGATTCATTGCTCTTAATGGTTTTAAGGTACTGTTAATATTCTATAGTGGCTGCCTATAGAACAATCGTCAACCTGAGCCATGCTTTTGGGATAGGGAAGGGAGCGAAAGTCTATTCTGTTGGTAATATTTCTCTTCAGACAACTAATAATCCAACAGAAAGGAAGAAATAGCTAGCTACTGTATATTACAGTATAAAGAAAGCTTCGTAGTTATTTTAAGTTTAATGGAGATGTACTGCTTAATAACTTTAAGTACTGCTGCTTAAGAGTAGCCAGGAGTATTGTTTTAAAATGTGTTCTATCCAACTTGGAGTTCTTTTAAAATGTTTGGCCATATGAACATTTGCAATCCTGATTTTAGGTTTGTGTCTCCTATGTTTTGTTTTATTCTGTGATCCTAAGTAGTTCTTTTTAAAGCTTAGAAATATTTATCAATACTGATCAGACTTAAAAAAAAAATTTACTTTGTAATCCTGCTGACTACCTGTATGTATTGTGTGTGTGTGTGTATATATATATATATATATATATATATTATATATAAAAGATGAAAATATTGGATCCTTATAATATTTTAAGTTGCTGAATATGTTTTAAAAAAGTGATTGAATGAGATGTGTTTGTATCTAGAAATTTTCTTTCTTTTTGGAATGAGATTAAAATACATTTTGAAAATTCAGAATAAGCAATTTATTTATGTTGCCTGTGTATGAAATTATTCCTATTTTTATGACTGCTTAGATGACTTCTCCCAAATTAAATTTATTCTTCTGTCATTTTAAAAAAATCAGAACCTTTCCCTCTCTAAACATATTTATAGGTATCATTTAATTAAATAGGACTTATTTTAAATCTGTAATTTCTGGAATTAGAAATAATTGTTTTTATTTTATAGAATGGCAATTGAAATAGTCAGTAGATACAAGAAAAAAGGGCACAATTCTTTTGATGCCTTTTATATCTAAAACTGAGAATGAAGGATTAATGTTATAAGGAGAATATGAAAAATAGAACATAAGCTTTTTTGTTTTTAAAAAAAACAGCTAGAATTTATAAATGACTCTTCAACATAACTGCCTTAGGAGGGTATATATTATGTTTCAGTGCTTCTGCCATTATTAAAAGTATTTTGGAAACCCTTTGGAATTACTTTCAAGGCTCCTGATTCACATTCATTTGAATAATCTCAATATGCACATTCCTGGTTTTTAGGGTAGATTTTTTGAAATAGCTGATATTTTAAAAGACTGAGCAATGTGTTAAGTATTTAAATAAATGTCTTTGGTCAAAATGAACTGTGAACATGGCCTAATGATACTATGTGTTTATTTCTAAAAGAAGCATTTGAGATATATCTTGAAATATATCAGAATCACTGTAATAAACTTATATTTATTACAATAATAAATGTTACATATTTATTGCAGTGAAGATGACATATGGATGTGAAAGTTGTCATATGTTTGACTCAAATAATCTCCCATGATATTTATAACTATTCTTATGAAAAAGCTCCATTCTTCATATAATTAAAGATCTAATTTTGAGTTTAAAGATAGTACAGTGGCATAATATGAGGGGAAAAGGTTAGAGTTCTTTTGAATTGTTAGATGGAATAACATATTTCTAAAATTCTGTTGATTCACTTCTTTTTAGATTGGCATAAACTGCATTTTATTTTAAGTAATGAATTTAGTTTTAGATTTTTTCAGCCTTTCAAAGCAAATTTTGAGAGAGAGAGAGATAGTTGTTAACTATAATTGATTCATTTAAACGTCTTATCTTTGTACTAAGAATTATGATATTTAAGTACAAAAGGTATTGTACTTCAGTGTAAACCAAATGATATTTTAATATCCCAAAATTAGAACAATAAAATTATTTTTTATATTTGATTCTGTTGTTGTTGCTATGTGGCATTGACTCAGACCCCACTCATAGCGACCCCTCCTTGGGTTTCCAAGGCAGTATCACTACGGAAGTAGATAGTACATCCTTCCTTCCGAGGAGTGGCTAGTGGGTTTGATTCTAGTCAATATGATATGTTTCAAAGGTCATTTATTTTATTATTAATAAATTTTCCAAATTAATGAGGAACCCTTAAAATCCTGCTTTGTATGATTTATAAAATTTTATTTGATAATTTGCTTCTCCCCCACATTGCACTATTTGCCCCCTCCATTATACTATAAAAATCAGATCTCTGTTCTCACTGCTGTCCCTTTTTATTTGTCTGAAGTGAAAAGCATATAATTTTATCTTCATATTCATGTTCATTTTGATTTTTAGAAATTTACCCAGAATTCCAGTTGCTATGCATGAAATGACCAATACATCCAAACAGAATGTGCTCATTGTCTTACTGTTTCTGATATAAATATCATTGGTAAAATAGTGACATTTCTTCTTGAGTTATGATTCAGAAGAGATATTCATCCATTAATGGAATTGATAGGTCTAGGAAGCAATAAGTAGAAATCATTATGAAATCTATAATTGGAACTTCACTGGATAGATTTTATTCTTTCAGATGAAAGATTAAATTCTCAGTACTGCAAAGCATGGGGTCTCAACATTCTCTGAATTCATACAGACTTTCCAAGCCATCTCATAATTGAAAATGATCTATCATGGTTGTATGGCTTTATTCAGCAAAATAAAACTAAGTGTTTTTTTTTTTTCTTTTTTATATGCCTGTCTTTTGTTTGGCTGGAAACCACGGGAGTAGGTTTAATTGTAGACCTGAAAGATAGCTAGGGGCCATAGTCTCGGTGGTTCCATCACGGTCTGTCAGACCAGCAAACCTGGTTCCTTTTATTATTATTGTTATTTTTAATGATTTTGAGTTTTGTTCCACATTGTTCTCCCACTCTATCTAGGATCTCCTACATAGATCCCCCTCCAAGTGGTTGACAGTGGTTGTTGTTGTTGTTGTTATGTGCTGTTGAGTTGGACCTGACTCATAGTGACCCCTCCTTGGGTTTCTGAGGGAGTATCACTACGGAAGTAGATTGCCCAGCCTTCCTTCCTCGGAGTGGCTGGTGGGTTTGAACCGCCAGCTTTCTGGTTAGCTGTCAAGTGCCTTA